GGTTTGTTGGGTCTTTTTGTTTGGTTTTGTTTGTGTAATGTCCAGCTTATCAATTTGTTCTTTTATGGTCCATGCTTTTGCTATCAAACTCCTTTGTGTAATGCTAGATCTCAATGTTTTTTCTGTGTTTTTGCTAACTGTATTGTAGTTTTGAATTTTATAAGTAAGCCCAGATCCATTTGGGGTTATTTTGTGTGAGAGAGGTTAAGATCACAGTTCAGTTTTTTGCCTGTGGATATCCCATTGCTGCAGCACTCCTTGCCCCCTTTTTGAGAAAGGGTCACGCTATATAATCCAGGCTGGCCTCAAACTGGCAGCAATCCTCCTACTCTGCTACGCCTGGTATCCAGCACCCATTGTTGAGGAAATTATTCTTTTCTTTTGTTTTGTTTTTCTCATGCAAGGACTCAAACCCAGGGCCTTGCACATACTGGGTTAAGTCCTCAACCACTATATCTCCAGCTCCAAAATGACTATTCTTTATCATTGATTAATTTTGCATTTCCTGAAAAAATATTTACACTAAGTAGATCTATTTTTGGGTTCTGTATTTTGTTCCATTGATTTGTTTATCTGTTCTTATCAGTACCACATCGCCTTAATTACTGTAGTTGTGATAGGTCTTTAAGTTGGGTAAACTGATTCTTTTTATTCTGTTTTCAGAATTGTTGTAGCTATTTTAATTCCCTTACCTTTCTTTTCATCTAAATTTAATAAACTTTATTAACAAAAATGTCTTACTGATATTTTATAATGAGTCTTTAAATGATGAATTCAGGCCGGGCGTATTGGTGCGCACCTGTAATCCCAGCACTGGGGAGGCTGAGGCAGGAGGATTGCTGTGAGTTCAAGACCAGCCTGAGCTACATAGTGAGTTCCAGGTCAGTCTCAACTACATAGTAAGACCCCGTCTCAAAAAAAAAAAAAAATTTGTGTCTGTATATCTGTATAACCTTATACTTCTGATGTCTGCAGGATCTGTACTGATATCAGTCATTTATGACTTTTACATACATTCAAAAATGCATTCTTGAGCATTTTTCACATAGGAATACATTTACACAGAAACTGTACCTGGATGTTCATAGCAGCTTTATTAAATGTAATCGCCAAAACTTGGAAACAACCCAAATAGATGTCCCCCAAGAGATGAACGGTTAAACAAACTCATAGCATGGAATACTACTCAGCAATAAAAGTAACTATTAATATACGTAACACCTTGGGTGAATGGGCAGAAAACTATGCCGAGTAAAAGAAGCTAACTCAAGAAAGTTACGTACTTTATTAATTTACTTATTTATCATTTTTTCTTTCTTTTTTTGGTGCCAGGGATCAAACTCAGGATCTTGTGCTTGAGAGGCAGGCAGTGGAACCACTGAGCTAAATCCCCGGCCCCTATATATCATTTTTGAAATGACAGAATTTTATAAATGGAAGACAGTTTGGTTGTTGCCAGAAGTGAGGTGCCAAGGGTGAAAGTGAACATACAGTTGAAGGGCAGACATGTATTTGGTTATAAAAAGGTGACACTAGGGATCTTCCTAGTGTTAGAACTGTTCAGTATCCTAACTATTATGAGAGATTAGTGCATGTAAAAGAGAAATCTAAGTAAGTTTGGTAAGTTCTATCAAACAAAATAGCTGCTTGCAGTATGATGTTAGGGTTATATATAAATAATATATTGTCGAGATATTATATGGTAAATGTTTACTATCACAGGGAACTGGACAATGTACATTTATTTATTTAGCTGTGCTGGCAATTGAACCCAGGGCCTCACACACTCTAGGCAAGCAATCTGCCACTGAGCTATATCCCCAACCCTTTTTATTTTATATTGAGACAGGATCTTGCTAAGTTACCCTGGCTGGATTCAAACTTGATATCCTCCTACCTTGGCCTCCCACGTAACTGGGATCACAGGTGTGCACCACCGCACCTAGCCTGTCTGTGTTATACAGAGTCTACCAAAAAGTATGTACACACTTCAGGAAAAGAAAATTTGTATAAATATTTTAATACTAAATTTATTGAGACATCATGAGATTAGTACAAATTAACTTTGGCCTCTACAATTACAAGAGATGCTCAAAGTGGTGGCCATTAGCTTCCAGACATTTATTAGTATGGTGAACTGCTGTTTGGGTAACCTTGGTCCATTGAGACTGCTGTACGTGCATTTTTCAATTTCTTTTTCTAAGAGCTAGGAGTGTAGTGGCTTTTCTGCAATATTCAACATTCTTTAGGATCCGCCGTATGAGGGTCACATCTGTATAAGAAAACACCATAATATTTGTCCTTTCTTGATGCGTGTATACATTTTTTTTTTGCAGACACTGTATATTACATCTTCCTGTGAATCTATAGTTATCTTGGACTGGGAGTCATCTTTAAAAGCCCTAAAAACATTTCCTACATATAGTAGACTCTTTGATTTCTACTATGTCATTTTATCATACCAGGAATTCTTTCAAGCCAGTAGAATTTCCCATTGAGAGGTGAGAAAATTGAAGTACAGTTTGGACAAGTACTGACATTTAGCTTAGTGACATCCTGGAAATAAGTATCCAGATTTGCTGACTAAACATGTCCCTTTTTCCACCTGTCTGTTTCCTCTCTTAGCCCACCTAGGATTGATGTTTAATCTCTTCTTTGTAGGCTGAGAAGTATTTTAGCAAGCCCAGTTTGTCTGGACGAGACATTTCTTAAGGATCGAAGAACAGTCATCTATCTAAGTCTTGACTATGGCAAGGGTTATCATGTGAGGCCCTGTCAGCAATGTGAAAGTTAGCAGCTAAGCTTCATAGAGCTGTGATGTCTGTGTACTCTAAAGTGTATGTGTTATGTGTATTTCGTATTCTTTAACTCTAGCCTTCTTCCTTTCTCAAGATCTGAGAGTAGGTAAAAGGAAATTATATAGTTGGCTAAAGCACTTGGTTTAACCAAGCCAAAATGAATGACAGCTCTCAGGGAATAGACTCCATGCAGTGAAGTTGTTCTTTGCAACTGTAACTTCCTGGCATAGGTCATTAGAGGCTGGAAATTAAAGTAATGATAAGACTAAGGTTTCACATACAGTCAGCATCTAACTATGTCAGTAGTGTAAATATACTCTCTGGCAGCCAACAAGGACACTAAAGATCTGTGGACACATTTCTCAATTACCATAGATAAATAAAAGTAAAAATTGTATTTGTTTGATAAGGTTTTGTTTTGTTTTGATTTTGGTAGGAGTCATAGTTACGATTCAGTTATCATCAGGTCTGGGGATTTAATGCTCAGTGGTGCTGCTCCTGCCTTGCAAGCACAAGGTCCTGATTTCAATCCCTGTTACCAAATTAAAAAAAAAAAAAGAAGAAGAAGAAGAAGAAGGTGAACTATGATTCATTTATCAGTCTTTGGTCTTAAGAACCAAGTCTGGCAGGAGCTTTTCATTTTGTAAGGACTCAAAACAACAAAGTAGTGAAAAGATATGATGAGTCACTTTATCATTATAGCACATCACTAAGGACAAAGCAGCTTCCATTTGTGAATTTTATCTGTATAGTAACCAGTAAGTACTACCAAGCAAATCAACATAAATATTCCTCTTTTCAGTTTTTAAACATTCGCTGTTTTCTGGTCACAAAAGTAACATGAAAAAGGCTGTGGAGCATATAGGCTGAGAGCACTAGTTTTGGACTTGGAGAGGCCCCAGCTCACATACATAGGTGGCTGGCTGTGGCATGTGACCAAAACTCTTGTTAGCTTTACTTTTCTTATCTGTAACATGGGAAGAAATTATAGTACCTACCACAGAAATTTGTTGTGAAGATTAAGTAAAATAATGCCAGTAAAATACTTAGAATAGGGCCTGACTTATTAAAAGGAATTTTTAAAAAGTAAGAAGAAAATAAAAATGACTCCTAAACCATAAGCCACTGTTAGCATCTTGATACCTTGGCTTTTCAGGTTTTTTCTGTCATCACACACACAAAATTGGTTTTATATTTTATATGTAATTGTATCCTGTTTCATTTTTCCCAGGTGTATTTTTGTTTTTGACATTAAAATTTACTAAAAATATAAGTTTTCATGACCTCATAATATTCTAACACATAGCTGTACTTAATTATATAATCACCTTTTTGCTAAGTGTCCAAGTTATTTTTAATATTTTTACCATTATAAATATTGCTATTTGGAGGCGTTGGTACCGGGGATCGAACTCAGGTCCTTGGGCTTGAAAGGCAGGAGGCAGAACCTCTGAGCTAAATGCCCAGACCATAAATACTGCTATTTTAAAGATAGATTCAGGTTGAGTTTGAAAAATCTTTAAAAATTTATTTCTTCTTGAACCCTGAGATTGAGTGTTTGCATGAATATTGATTATTGCCGTTATTTCAGTGAAATGCCTTTTAGTGAAGGGATACAATTTTAAAGCTTTTTATATAGAATCTCTAGAATAATGTCACATACATAATAAACTAAATGACTATGATGGACGAGTGAATGAGTGGCAAGAATATTAACACTTTGTCTATCATTATTTGTTTCAAATAAGGTCAAGCATTAGAAAACTTTTTTTTTTTTTTTTTAGTAAACTTTTGCTTTTGCCTTTGCCTTTGCCTTTGCTTTTTTCCACTGTGGCACGTAATGGTGGCTGAGGCAGAAGGATCACAAATTTGAAACCAGCCTGGGCTATACAACGAGACCTTGTTTCAAAAATACCAAAAAAGAAAAAATAAATGTATAATGCTGTTTTGCTTCTTAATCTTTATGCCTGATTTTTTTTTCCATTCTTTTCTTCCCTTATAGTTCATCCATGAGCTCGGTTTTTTCCACTGTGGCACGTAATGGTGGCTGAGGCAGAAGGATCACAAATTTGAAACCAGCCTGGGCTATACAACGAGACCTTGTTTCAAAAATACCAAAAAAGAAAAAATAAATGTATAATGCTGTTTTGCTTCTTAATCTTTATGCCTGATTTTTTTTTCCATTCTTTTCTTCCCTTATAGTTCATCCATGAGCTCGGATTTCCCACACTACAACTTCAGGATGCCTAATATTGGATTCCAGAATCTGCCTCTCAACATATATATTGTGGTTTTTGGCACTGCTATATTTGTCTTCATTCTTAGTTTACTCTTCTGTTGCTACCTGATTAGGTAATCAGTTTCTTCTGTGTTACTTCAAAATATGTTAAACAATCAAATTTTGCCTTCATTTAAAACGTGATAATGGGCAAATTTTCTAAAAGTTAATAGGGTTTAATCTCCTCTAATCAGTCATACACCTTTATACAGGCTTGAGTCCTATCTGTTGATGAGGTATATTTCACTCTGTAGAAAAAAATTGTCCATATTAATTTTTCCAGCACATTAGCACCTAGTGTGGATGCACTCATGTCATTGTCTGTCCCAAGATTTAACCTACTTTCACAGGGATTTCAAAATTGCTTTAAAGTCCTTAGGGATCAAAAAATAGTATCCAAGACAAGATCATGCCTTTAAAAAGCTTCTTGGGGTCACTTAGGATTTCAAACTTCTATTTGTTGTCGAATTAGTTAGGTGCTCAAGTGATTTATTTTCTGCCTAAAACACTAAATATTCTACATGACCAAAAGTACATGTGGAGACAAGTAACAGCAGGTAACAACTCACTGGAGGGGAAATAAATTTGGCCAGAAAAGATTCATGGTTGATTGACTCACAGTTATTTAAATATTTTTACTTTTTCAGTTTTTAAATGGGACCTAATTCTCAAAGCCAAAAGTGAGCCTATAAAATATTTTACTTGGTATTCTTCAAAGAGCTTTTTGGAGTAAAAGAATAGAAAATTGAATTTTATTAAACAGCTATACATTTAATAGTTTTTAGTATTTGTACAATATGTGATTATCATTAAAATAAATAACATCATCTGATGTCTTTCAGCAATTATTTGTTATTGCTACTAGTGTTTTAGGGTGTTCACATTGACTACTAGTCAGTTCTGTTGTTGTTGTTGTTTTCTGGTACTGGGAATTGAAGTCAGTCACTCTTGCCAGGCAGATGCTGTACCTCTGAGCTACAACCCACACCTCAGTGGTCAAATTTAAACGAAGTTAGTGTTCGGTTTCTGATATTCTGACATTTCCATTCTTCATAGAAAGTGAATCTTTTCTGAAAATTCTCACAAAATGTAATTGCACCTCATATATCATAAGCTATATTGGCTGCTTATAATTTTTTAGGTTTTGGTCAGATGGTTGAAGATATAGGTCTGTAACATGCAAGTGAAGACTAGAAATAGAGAGATTATGTCACAATGAAATAAAATGGGTCCAGGACAGAGTTGTAGGAAAATGCTGATATTTAAGAGAATCCCATAAAAAATTCTAGGAAGTGCTAGGCGTGGTGGCATAAGCCTGTAATCCTAGCACTTGGGAGGCTGAGGCAGGAGGATTGCCAAGAGTTCAAGGCCAGCCTGGGCTACATAGTGAGACCGTGTCTCAAAAAATAAAATTAAATTAAAAAGATTCTGGGAAGAGATAGCAGGAAATGAAAGGAAAATCATGAGATAGGTACCCTACAAGTACCATTTCAATAGTGTTATTTATGTCAGCTGCTTCCAAGGAAGTTCAGTAAGGTAAGATTTGAAGTTTCTATTATATTTGACAATTAAATTTATATCCATAATCTTTGTTAGAAAAGGTTGAGTAGCATGAGGTAGGGGGAATAAAGGCAGGCAAGCTATTGTGGTACAAAGCCTGACTAGCAGATGAAAATAGATAAAAGAAATTTTAACCTCCTTGAAGAACTTTGGCTGAGGAAAGATAAGGTTGAGGAAAAGGCAATTGCTGTAAAATCAAGGTAGTATTTTGATGTTTCTTTTCTTTATAAGGTAGACTTTTGTAGAAATTTATAAACATAATAGAATGAGCTGGTTATGGAGGATCTGTGAGGAATAAATTATGGACATGAAAAGAGACATGCCTAAGAGATAAAGTAGTAGTAGTGCTAAGCAGGAGAATACTTCTCCTAAGAAAGAGAGGAGGATAACTGTAAAGGACCTGTGTGAATCTGTGAGACCCAGAGCGAGGGAGCTTATGTGTCTGACAACTCTCATTCTTTCTCTGTGGAATAGAAAATTGACATTTGAATGATGGGGAGGATGTGGTAGGGGAAAACTTGAAGAGAATGGCAGGGATTTGAAACAACCACTACATGGAAACAGATTCTGAGCAGAACAGACAGAAGGAAGAGAGCAAGGAGAGTCAGGCTGAGCATGGAGGCTACAAGTTTGTAGTCACCCAAAGCTAGGTGATTTTATCATTTTCTTCAGCACTGTTCAACATTGTTAATCGGTACTGTATCCCTAAAATGTACCAATAAACTCAATAAAATTAAAAAAAAACAAAAAAAAACATTCATTTAGCAATGCAAAATAAAATAGTACAGTCTAAACTATCAATAATTTATATAACTTAAAAGAATAATAGCAAGGTTTATTTAAGAATTTATTTAAGACATCTATTTAAGAGAGAATGTCCTAAAACAAATGAATTTTTAGCTACAGATTGGGAAAAAAATGGTGAGCACAATTGGTTCCTTCTGTGGCTGGAAATAACAAGTTCTACTTTGGGAAAATATGAAAATCCCATTAAAAGATTCAAATAAGCGTAGGGGCCAGGGATTTAGCTCAGTGGTTCCGCCTCCTGCCTCAAAAGCACAAGGTCCCGAGTTCAATCCCCAGTACCAAAAAAAAAAAGATTCATATAAGCAAAAGGAATTTACAATGAATCCTTATTTTGTGAAATTAATGGAGTTCATCTTATTTCTTTATATGAAAAGTATATTGTGTTCTTCTTTTAGTAAAATAAGCCGACAAAAAACAGAAAACCTATAGAGTATATGAACTACATGATCAATAAGTTTGACCTAATAAAGAAAATTTATAATTTTAAATTCAGGTACCAAACCTGAAATACTGAAAACCAGTGATCCTAAGGTTTTTTTTCATGGAGCTAAGCACACACACAGCGTGCACACATAGCACACACACGCACAAGAAAGAAGAAGAAAATAAAGATAATCATAGAAATAAATGAAATAAAAAACAAATATAATAGAGAAAATCATTGAAACCAAAAGCTAGTTGTTTGGTAAAATTAATAAAATTGATCAATATTTAGAAAAACCAGGAAAAAGAATAGGGAAATGATGGATCATTAATAACACAAATTCTGTAACTATCAAAGGATCAGAAAGATTATGTATCTATGCCAACATATTGGAAATTTTATTTTTTTATTTTTTTTGTGGTACCAGGGATTGAACTCGGGTCCTTGCACTTGCTGAGCTAAATCCCCAGCCCTTATATTGGAAATTTTAGATGAATTACATAGATTCTTAGAAAAAAATACAGGTCATCAAAACTGACATCACAAAAGCACTTATGAAAAATCCACAGCTAATAGCATACCCAATAATGAAAGAGTAAGATCAGGAACGCAACGAGTTTATCTGCTTTACTACTGTTATTTAACATTATACTAGAAGTCCTAGCCACAGAAATTAAGCAAGAAAAAGAAATAGAAGCATACAGATGGAAAGAAATAAAACTATTTGCAGAAGACACAATTCTGTGTGTAGAAAATCTTGGGGAGGAAAGTGATTTTTTTTTTTTAAAACAAAGCCCATAGAGGACTCTGTAGAATTCATGCTCAGTATGTGCAAGGCCTTGAGTTCAATCTCTAGCACCAGACAACAAATAAATGAAAATCCTACAGAATTCTAAAAAAAAACAAAAACAAACTACCAGAGCTAATAAATCCAGCAAATTCAGAATACGAGATCAACACACAAAAACTGGTTGTGTTTCTGTACACCAGTAATGAACAATCTGGAAGAGGCATAAAGAAACAAGTCCATTTACAGTAGCATGCAAAAAACAATAAAATTCCTAAGAATAAAGCTGACCATGGAGGTGAAAAGCCTGTACCCAGAAAACAATAAAACATTGATAAAACAAATTAAAGATTAAATACAGTAAATGGAAAGACATCCCATGTTCCTCAATTGAAAGATAGCATTGTTAAGAGGGCAGTTGTCCTTAAGGCAATCTACAGGTTAATGAAATTCCTATCAAATTCCAGCTTTTTTTTTTCCAAAAGTGGAAAAACCAACTTAAATTCATTTGGAATTGTAAGAAGCCCCAAGTAATCAAAATAATATTGAAAATGAAAAATAAAATAGAATTTATACTTCCTGATTTCAAAGACACACTACAAAGGTACACAAATCATTGTGGTACTGACAATGAACTATAAACCAAAGGATCAGAATTGAGAGTCCAGAAATAAACCCAGACATTTATGCCAATCAAATACTCAGCAAGGACACCAAAATTATTCAGTAGGAAAATTGTTGTTTCAACCAGTGGTACCACAACAGCCAGATAATCACATGCAAAATAATAAAGTTGGGCCTCTCCACATAATATAAAACTTAACTCAGAGTGAATCAATGACCTAACATTAAGAGTCAAAAGTATAAAACTTTAGTAGTGGTGGCACATGCCTGTAGTCTCAGCAGTTGGGAGGCAGAGCAGAATGTCCAGTTGAGTCCAGGAGTTCAAGACGAGCCTGAGCAACATAGTGGGACAAGATTGTCTTTTTAAAAAATTAAAAATAATTATATCCAGGAGAACTTACCAAGATTATGAAGACCTGGGGTATAGCTCACTGGCTTACTATGTGTGAGGCCCTGGGTTCAACCCCCAGCACCCCCGAAAAAAGGAGGCAACCTTCATAATGGAAGAAAAATATTTGCAAATCATATATCTGATAAGTATTTAATATCCAGACTATATTAAGAGTGCCTGCAGGGCTGGGGATTTAGCTCAGTGGTTCTATCACCTGCCTTGCAAAAGCAAGGTCCAAAGTTCCATCCAGGTTCCAAAAAAAAAAGGCAACAACAAAAGGATGTCTCAAATACTATGCAAAATAAGGTTAGGAATGTAGCTAGGTAGTAGAATGTAAAGCACTTGCTTTACAATCACAAAGCCCTGAGTTCAATCCCCAGAACAAAAACATTTTTTTTTAAATAGGAAATTTAAAGAATTCTCCATATACACAAATGACTGACAAACATGAAAAAATGTTTGACATCTTGATCATTTAGAC